AACATCCTGCAAAAAAAATATGACACCAACTGTGTAATATTAAGGGGAGAATCAATGCATTTTCTTCTTGAACTCTTCCATCCACCTTAAAAAGAGTTTCTCTATTTGATTTATTGTTCACAACAACTTCCTTTTTATTTAATTCAGGGCTTGCACTAACAATATTTGCTTTATTCACATAGCCTTTACTATGACAGTCACATGTCATGTGACCTTTCTTGCCACATTTAAAACAGAGTCCTTTTTTTTATAATCTGCTTTTTGATCTAGTAATAATGTCTTTTTTTTTCCTTTTTTATTCCATGTAGGGCTTTTATTGTAAGAGATTTTTGCTCTATCTATTTCCATTGAAGTGGGGTCTTGTTCAATGAAGCTTTTAGTAGGCTTTAGCTGTTTGTCTTCTTTTCTTTGTTCAAAGGCTTCATACTGAGAGACTTTGCTTCGATCAGATTTTGAAGGACTATACATTGCTGTGTCAAAGCTTGCAGCAAGTTTAACTGCATCATCTAAGGTATCTGGGGTCTGATAATTTACTTCGGCTATTGTGGCTCTCTTTAAACTTTCGGTGAAATACATGACTTTATCAGCTTTATGCATTTTTTCAATTTACTCCAACAAATTCCTAAATCTGGATACGTATTCTTGAACAATAGAGGTTTGCTTGAGATTTTGTAGTTGACATCTCAAAAGCTGCTGATAGTGAGGAGGTTGAAAGGCTGCTTTAATTCTGTCTGCAAATAAAATCCAGTCTTCAAATGGAGTTTTGTCTCTGTGCGTCTGTACTTGATTCAAATACTATTATAAGGCTGTGTCTTTCAAGCTAGTGATGATGTATAGCAATCTTTCTCTGTCCTCAACCTTTCGCACTTTAAACAAAAGGTCAACTTGTAGAAGCCAAGTTAAAATGTTTTCTCCATTTTCCCGTAGAACACCAGAAGTTGAACAGTAAGTCCTTTTGATGTATTGTTTTCAATTCTTGTATTGATAAAGGTAGATGTTTGAAGTTGATCAGTAGCAGTTTGCTGTTCCTGTTGCTGTTGAGCAGTAACTGCGAAATACTGATTTAGTTGGTGCTAGCTTTGTAAAAATTGTTGAAATAGAGTTGTGAAATCTTCTTCTTTTTGCCAAATATGTGTTCAGATGCATTTTCCATTATTTCACTCTTGACTTATATAATATAATATAATTTTGTTTTTATTTATTTTTTATTTTTTTATTTTTATTTTTTTTTGTTTATTTAAGAAATCCCAACCAGGCTTGCTAACTTATAGTCTTTAAGATTTTTATTA